GCGGGGGTGCAGGTGTGAAGAGGTGTTGCTGGTTGGTGCCGAATCCTTTCAAGTGTCTCTGGTTTTCATAGACATGAAGTGTGAGTAGAACCACAGCTGTGAGACAGCAGGGAGAGAGAGACAGAAACCGAGAGACAAGAGACCAGAGCAAGGAAGGCACTGCCTTTCTTCCATGCTCAGGACATCCTCAGCCTAGAGCGTGTCCACCCACCTCCTCCACCCCCGACTGGACTGCCTCTGTTGCTGTCCAGCAGAATATGGGGTGCTGGGCCCTGTCCAGAAGAAGATGGGGTTCTGGGCCCTTGTCTTTAGTGAAACTGTGCAGCAAACCTCTCGACGCCCTGCATCGCAGCCCCATTTATTCAGGGGCTGGCATCTTTATGTTGGTGATGGGGAGGTGGCAGTGGCCTTGTTCCTCACTTCTTTCCCACCACCAGCCTCTCCTGGGCTTATATATGGTCTGACTGTGCCATATATTAGGCAATGGGTCAGTGTCAAGCAGCCTGGTGAATTTAATGAAGGGCACATAAATTAAACATACTACCAGCCTTCACAAAGAGGCCAAGCCATATAAGCTGCAGACAGAAGCACCCCCACCCTGGCTGCCAGGCTGGATTCTGGTTGCCATGGTCCTCTCTGTACAGTGATGAGGGTCAGCAGGCACAGTGGCACCCAGCTCCACTTTCTGTGGAGATTGATGAGGCCACAGGGATTGGGAGGGTTGATGATAGTCCCAAGTTCCCTCACCAGGAAGGACTTCCTATTGATGAGGTCATATCGGTACTAAGGGGACCTGGGGGGCTGTGAATGGACAGATTAAAGGGGTCAGTCTCACAGGCATGCTGGCGTGGGCATCGCTGTCACATTTTACAGAGGACAATACCGAGTCCCCAAGTTGCCGCAGTCAGGAAGCCAGACTGGTCCGGGAACACACACACCCTCAGCTTAGAGAGTCGCCTTCTGTTCTGCTCAGCTCAGCCTCCCAAACAGAGTGTTGCTGGGGATGTCAGAGGATTGGATGGAACCAAGGAAGGACTCCTACAAATGAGGGGGGTCTCTAAGCACCCAGAATGCAGCTTGGGATGAACACAGCCAGGCAGACCCAAGAGTTCAACATCTCGGAATGACTTTGGGCTTCCGTACCACAGAACATCTCTGAGCTTTGGTATCTCAAGCCACAGGGACCCCTGCTCTGCTCTGCTCTGTCTATCATCTCTGAAAACAAAAAGGTTCAAAGCATGTAAAATTGCTCACCCATCCCAGCTTAGCTGGAGGGAGGGAGTGGTCAGATTCTGGGATGACTTCATTCATGGCAATGATTTTGTGCAAAGAGCCCCGCCTTGGGTTTTAGGTTCATGCAACCAGAGGGCCCAAGATGGAGGAATGGAGGCCAGTTTGTGCTCTAGGAGCAAATAGATTGTCCCCTTGAGAAGTGTCCTTGGGAGGCATGAGAAGACCCTGGCTGGCTTCCATCCCCTCAGCAGGAGCTGGAAAGTGTGGAGTGGGACATCCTGAAGCCACCAGATAAACTTTACAAAGCTGACACTTACGCTACGCCTGAGAAACCAGCAGGACCCAGTAAGCCATACCCCAGACACATGCTGCATCTCTATTCCATGTCAGACAAAGAAACCAAGTCTCAGATAGCCCAGGCTCTGCCTGGGGCAGAGGCCACAGTGGCAATATAGCTACACTGGTATCCAGGGACACTGCTGGGACCTGCTTGAAAAGCCAGACCTTGAAGCTTTTAGCCAACAGAACAAGACAAAGTACATCTCAGAAGAGCACCATAGTCTCCATCAATGTCATCACAAACCTGAGCTTGGAGACTGGAAGCCTCTAGGACATAGGACACCCAAGCAGCCCACATGGAGAGACCTCAGGCTGTGAGCACAATGGAGCGACCCAGTCCAGGCAACTCAGCCTGGGTCATTTCTATCCGCCACCTATAGAAAGCAGCCGCATGGGAGCCTCCTGCCAGGAACCCCAGGGTGGCCATTTGCGGTTATGAGTGCCCCAACGCTTGGGATATAATGAACCGTGATTAAGACCAAGAGCCTGGGGCTGGCTCTCAGAGAGGTGTACCATGTACATGCTGGAGCCCTGGCTTGGAACTCTCAGAGCTTTGCTCACCAAAGGCATTTCACAGCTGAGCCACATGAAGCCCGCCAGCCTCAGTGCCACGGGACAGGATAGAGACCAAAGAAACAAGAGACTCCAGTTCTGGACATACGGGCCATGTGGCTGCTGTGCACCTCCTAACTGCGTAACAGACCCTCATCAGCACTCTGTCATGTGTGTCCATGTCCGTGTGTCTGTGCACCTGTGTACATGTTCGTGTGGAAGCTAGGTCGGCATTGGGCATTCTCCTCAGTCTGTCTCCATCTTGTTCTTGGGGTCAGATTCCTTCACAGAACCTGGAGGTCATCAAACCTACATCACTAGGCCGTCTGGCCGGCAAACCCCAGGGATCCTCCTGTTTCCATCTGCCACCGCCGGGGACACAAACGAGGGCCAGTGCCAGGCCTACGAAGATGGCAAGGATCCAAGCTCAGGTCCCATGCTTGCCTGGCAATTCCTTCACCAGGCGAGCCACCCCGCAGCCCCAGCCCATTTCACAGGAAGAAAACCGAGGCTCCGAGCCCCCAGCAGCCACCTCTGCACTCTTACCCAGTGCACAAAACCTCTCGGGTAAGAGCATCAGCACATGCTGTCACAGTCTGTCACTGCACAAACCCCCACACCCAGCCACGGAGACCCCACATCTTCCCACCCAGACCATGCTGGCTCCAAGTAGCAGAATCCCAGCTTCCAAAGCACAGGCAGGCACAGGCAGGATCCTTGATTAATGAAAATGAGCCTAATATATTTCAGAGCGATCTGTTATGACACAAAGCAGAGACGTTTACACACGACTGTGGATTTTTTAATAGCTGATTCTAGAACAACCCATTATGAAATCTTCCAAAGCAGAAAAATACAGTAAATCACGGGGCAGGGCTTCTGAGCAGACCGACGGTGGCTTTCCATAAAATAATGTAGAGGGTGGGAGGCAGAAGGAATTACTGCCATAATCATGAGTTAATAAAATATTTATAGGCATGGATTTCTCCCCTATCATCCTAGGCATGTCCGTGTGAGGGAAGCCCCTGAGGCTTATCAGAGGGGGTGCCCACCAGTCCCAGGAGGAGAGGGAGTTGGGCTGAGCCCCTCTTTACCAAAGCAGGCTGACTGCTGTCTGGCCCTGGGGTCTGCTTTCCAGTTGGAGGCAAAGAGCACGCCGGGTTGGCATGGGAAGATGAGACAGGTTGCCCACTGGACTGGTCCACAGCTGTGGCCACCTCCTCTGCCTTTTCCTCCTCGTCTTTCTCCTTTTCTTCTTCCTCCTCCATGTCTTCCTCACCTGCCTCCTCTTCATTATCATTATCTACTTCCTTCTCATCCACCTCCTCATCTTCCACTTCCTCCTCTTCATCATCATTCTCTCCTTCCTTCTCATCCACCTCATCCTCCTCGTCTTCCACACCCTCCTCTTCCTGCTAAATAGGTTCAAGACAGTAGGGAGCCTCCTCCAGACAGCCCTCCCCACTGAACGCAGCCTGGAGCTGTCAGTCAAAAAGTCCTAGTCTATCAGAGCCTATAGTTCATCATGTGACCAGTTCTAGCCTCTTCCCTCTCTCTAACTCCTGGGCATGGCCACATCCGCCATGTCTGCACTCAAGGCAAGACTGTCTGTGTTCACCCAGGGACTAGCATTTTTTAGAAGCTACAGAAAATGATGAGAACCCAGAAGGAAATGCACATGACGGCAGAAATGGGAATAAGGTGACATCACCCCGGGGATAAAGAGCCACAGAGTGGGCCGGGAAGGTCCTCCTTAGTGCCTCCATGAGGTGTGTCTGCATTTAGCCTGCTCTAGACTTCTGGCACCCAGCACCGAAAGAGGAGAGGTGGGACTTTGTTATTCATGTCATCAAGATGGCGGGCATTTGTCCCAGCAACACGGCAGTAGGAGAGACAGGAAACCACTGCAGCAGACTAAACAGCAGCATGTACCTAGTCAGCGCCTGTTGTACAGTGCTCACAGTGAGGGCAGGTACACCGGGGCACCGCCACCCAGCTGGCAGTCACAGACCATGAGGACAACTGGCAGAGCCCAGCATGAGTGGCGGGGACAGCGTCCATCCCATGGGCAAGCTCAGAGCCTAGGGCCGCTCTGGCCAGCAGAAGTCACCGGCAACCTAAGCCCTTCAAATCACACAGAAGCAGAGCCGGGGAGATGGCTCAGTGTGTGAAGTCCCTGCTGCACAAGCATGAGGCCCCGAGTTCAAGCACTACATGCATGCGCCAGAGGTAGAGGCCTGTGGCTAGCCTGGGGCTGCAGAGGCAGAGGCAGGAGGGTCCTGGGTGCATCAGCCAGTGAGAGAGCCTGTCTGAAAACCCAGGGAGGACCACACCCGGGGGATAGGTCCTAAGGTGTCCTTTGTCCTACACACAAGCACATGCACTCACATACACCCACACATGCTCGCACATACACACATACACACACACTGCACACAGAGATACACACGTGCACACATACATACACATACATACATACACACATACATACACATGCTACACACATAAACACACATGCATGCATATCACACACATTACACATACATACATGCACACACACTACACACAGACACACATACCACACACACACACACACACACACACACACACACACACACACAATTACAAACAATTCCAAATTCGTGTCCTCAGCCATGGGCTACATTTCAGGTCTCTGTGGCCCGATGTGCCTGGTGACCACTGCCACAGACAGCAGGGACTCCATCCGTGTGACAGGTCCGCACGGACAGCATGGGCTGGAAGGCCAGTGGGGAACCCTGAGATGGGCGTGTGACAGGTAGAGTCTGTCCCCACCCTGCTGGGAGAGAAGCCACACAAATGCCTGCTGCGCAGACAGCTGGCAGGAGGGCCCGTACCTTTGCACGCCCCTGCGGCACCCAGGTGGTAGATGGCCGCCAGCACCCGCCAAATGGCTCGCTGCTCGCTCTCTGAGATGCCCAGCAGCTCCATGGCACCCCGGAGCTGGGAAAACGCAGCTGCTGCCTTCTGCTTGTCTTCAGGCTGAGGGAGAGGGAGAGAGAAACAGGCCATTACTGTAGAGAGACTGGAACTCACAGCTCAGAGCCGAGGTCAGTCTGCAGGGCACACGGTCCGTTTACTGCTGCAGTAAATTACCCACGGTTAAGCCGGGCTGGGTTTGGCAGCCACATTCAGACTTCTGGGAAGGCTGTAAATGTCATTTGCGTCTGCTTTGGGGTGCAGGGGAGGTTTTATCCATTCTTGGAAGGATTTATCAGAGCTCTGATTTGCACTGAGCTCTGGTCTGGATGCCATGATAAAGGAGCCCGAGCTCAGCCCTAGAGCCTCTCAAGGCAGAAGAGAAGGGAGCATAAAACAATGCTGGGTTGGGAGAGCTGTGTGGTAGGCCCCAGGCCTAAGCAGGGACACAGGACATCACAGCGAATGAGGAAAACCTAAGATGGGAGCTGAAAGGTCGATGTGGGAAACTGGCCAAATGAACGGGGGGGACAGAGGCTGGCTGACCAACTGAGGATCCAAAATAGTTATTAGTGAAGGTGGGTGAGGCAAAGAGGGAAGGCAGATAAGGCCTGAGTTAGTCCGGCAGTCAGTCTCAAAAGACACAGATGCGATTCTAAGGAGCGATAGTTTGCAGCCAGATGGTAACTACTGAGACTGGACCCCACTTCTATTTCTGCACCCACAGCAGACATCACTAATCAATCAAGATCCCACAGCAAGCCAGTAAAGCCAGAATTGCTTCAAGGACACCATCCTCTACCACCACACCCCAAGATCTACCTCAGAAGCCGAAATAGTGCCTGTTTGCCATCCTCTATGGGACAAAGAGAAGTTGCCAGAGAATTTGAAGCAGGAAAGAATGGCCCAATGGGTTGTTTATGGGTTATTGAACTTCTCGTGTCATTTTTTTTTCTCAGATTTATAGTTCCAATTATGTTTGACTGAATATTAAAATTAATCTGAAAGTCCTGTGCATGAGCCATCTGGCCAAGGACACACAGCCCAGAAGCCTGGAAGGCAAAGAGAAAGCGAGACAGGAACAGGAACCCTTTTGACAATAACCGACCACAGCAGAATAATGAGAGACCAATTTGTAGCTGATCCAAAAGAGAATTTGGGTGACACGGGGCCAGGCAGCCCTGTTAGAGCTCACAGGTCCTTGAATTGTGTAGAGTTTCATGCCCAGAGAGGTCAGGGCTGATGCCAGAGGTCACACAGCAGATTAGCCGCAGACACAGGACTGGAGGCGTCCCTGGCTCCTGCCCACACTGCTTCCTGTCGACTCCAGCCACCTCAGACGACTGAGCGACATGCAAGGGTCCTCAGCCAGTTGGCCCGACATCGAAGCAGGTGGCGGCGTGGAGAGGGTCGCCTGGGAAGCATTTCCATTAACAGCAGAGGCCTGTCCCACTGCTCAGTCATATTCCTGGGCCACCACAGAACCACAAAGACCCTAGCAACCAGGAGCTGAGCCTAGCAACCACAGCTGTGAGGGAGGGCGCCTCACGACAAGGGCCCGGTTATTTATGAGATTTCAAAGTAGCGGGAAGGACACACAGAGGACAGAGAGTGGGATAATCCTGGCTCCCAGTGTCAGCAAGCACTCGGTTTTGAATAACAGGCAGAAGCCGTCACCTACCACTTGGCCTCGGCAAGAGGAGAGGGGAGAGTCTGAGAGAGCCCCGCTCCTTTCTCTCCTCGCACCCCATGTCTCTTTGGAAACCGAGAACATGAATTAAAAAGGAGCTACAGTTCTCCCCAATGTGATGAGGGACCACTGTTCTTTTAAAGAACTCTGAATAGTGTCCCTGCCCCAGCCTGCTCTTGGGTAAAGACCATGAAACCAGAAATATCCTAGATGAGTTGCACACATCACCCCAAGTGAAGTGGGCAGGAGGAGGAGAAAGGATGATCAGGAGGTGGCGATTCCAGAGCCCAGGGCGGGAGTACTACACAGCAAGGAAAAAGAACAAGCCGGTCTGTGCTCACTCTCGTGTGAGGCTTCCAAACCCACTGCTGAGTCGCAGACGTCAGACCCAGGGGCTGCTCCTCATCTGCCATCCGTCACTGCTTTTAAAGTGTCCGAGACCCGTTAACTCACAAACAGTAACGGGCATCTTCCCGGGGGTGGCTGTCTGGGAGGTCGAGAGCACTTCGCCTCGAGGAGCCTCAGGCTCACCTGACCCAGCAGAGCCACCGCACAGTGAGACACAGGACGCTGGCTGGCTCACGCCATCCTCTTCACAAGCCACCAACGCTGCCCCGGGTGCAGGCCCGGGGCTTCGCTGATTCCTCAGCGCCTCCCACCGTCCCCACTCCAGAAAGCAGAGACTTTGGGGGTTAGGGCTCCAACGCTCCGAGCATGCTCACACCACGGCAAGCGCACAGTGTGTCAGCTGTGCGTGCGTGACGCTCAGTCGGGGAGCGGTGGCCACAGGCGGGCTCGGCCAGTGGGCTTGGGCTGGAGGTGTGTGTGTGTGACCGTGTGCATGTGTCAGTGTGTGTGTGTGAGTGTTGTGCGTGCATGTGTGTGTGTGTAAGTGTGTGTTTCCGTGCAGGTGTGTATACATGTCTGTTGTGTATGTGAGTATGTGTAGATGTGTATGCATGTCTAGGGTACGTGTGTATGTGTCCCTGTGGTGTGTTGACCAGAGACCTTTGTGTCAACACCCAGCGAGGCCGCTGGGTCACATGGACTGGACTCATTCACACTCCCTGGCACATGAGGGCCCCCACCTCCTCATCCCCGGTTGTCATTTGTTTTTGTAACGAGTGCCCTTCTGACTGGGCCGTTCGTGTTTCGTGTTTGGGGGAAGCATCTGCTGATTCCGTTAGTTCAGCACCGGTGGGTATTCTGGTTTCTCATTGGTGCGGTTCTTCGTGCATTCTAGATTCACTCTCCAGATAATCCGCTGCTGCCTTCGACGCTCTGTGAGCCATCTTCTGCTGTGTGCGATGCTCTACAGAAGTTTTGTGGGGCTTGGGGGGGAGGGGATGTTTGTTTTTGCTTGTTTCTTCCGTGGGGTCCCAGGGGGACTCCAGCAGCCCCAGAGCGCCTCAGAGCGTCTGTGGTGCATCTGAGGTTAGTTGTCAAGGAGTGAGGCGTGACCTTCGGTGGGTACGTGGACACCCGCTTGGCCCAGCACCATTTGTTGAAGAGGCTGTCTCTTCCCTGGAGTGTATTTTTGGTGGTGAGTACACAGGCTCGTGCCTGGGTCCTTGATGCTATCCCGGTGGTCAACACGCTGTCCCTCGGCATTTTCACTACTCCAACTCCGTAGATTAACTAGGAATCGGGCGTGGGGAGGCCTCCCAAAGTCCTGTTTCCTCCTTCAGTTTCTTGAGGTTTTCTCTGCCGGGGACTTGCACGCCCCAGGTCATGTTTATTGTGAGGAGTTTGCCGTGTCCGGGCTGAATGGGACTGACTCCCTGATCTTCTGAGTGGTCCCTCACTGGCTATGGCAGGGTTGCGGCCTGGTGTGTGTCGAGGGTGTGTCCTGCCTCTCTGCTGAGGGGCCTGTCTCCCTGAGATTCCCATGGAGTCCAAAGGGTCACAGAATTGTTTACAAAGGACCACACTTTGACTCCCCCCCTTCCTGTTTGTGCCCCTTGTGCCAGCCTTTCTGTCTCACTGTCCTAGCAAGGACTCACCCTCTGTAGTGAGGAGGAACAAGCAGACAGATCTTGCTCTTTGTTTCCATGGGAAGGCGTTCCTCAGTGGGGTGATGGGTTTTAACCCCACAGCATTGTGCTGCTGAGAGGCTCTTCTACCCCGGTCTCCTTGGGACTTTTATCATGAAGGGATGTCAGAGTTTGTCAAAAGCCCTTTCCGCATCTGTTGAGAGGGTCTCGGGACCTGTGCCCTTGATTCCATTCATGTGCTATGTTTATTGATCTGCAAACACTGAGGCAGGCCTCCCTCACCAAATGAAGGCAGCGTCTCCTGACGAATGATCCTTTTGATGTCCTCTTGGACTTAACTTCCAAGCAGTTTATTAAGAATCTGCATCTCCGCCCAGCAGGGACGGGTCCGCAATGTTCTTTTGTTGTCGTTGTGCAGTTTATCTGGTTTGACTCCCCTCTACCCGGCAAACTCCTACCCATCCTTCAAAATTCAGTGTGAGCCAGGCCCAGTGCGCCCTGTCTACAAAGCCTTCCCTGGCTGAGGCCAAACATCTCTTCAAATCATTCTCTGGTGCCCACAGCCCCACCTCTTCCTATGAGTTCTCCTCCCGTATCTCTGCATTCCATGCCTGCATTTCCCACCTCAGCAATAGCCTCGGATGAGTGCCAGAGTCCTGACCCATAACCCCAGTGTCATCACAACTAAATGAGGGCAAAGTAGACCGAGAGAGCAATGTTAGCCACGAACACCCGCTAACCCAGAGCGGGTGGGCTGTTGCTGCCTTTCACAACCCCTCCTGCAGCCCTCACCCTCACCCCCTCATTCCCACCCTCCCCACACCCCACCTCTGCGAAGGACCATGAACAGCCACCAGCAGAGGGCGCCCACCTTTCTCCATCAGCCTCCAGAGCGCCCCCTGCTGGTAGAGCCATGCTAAGCTGTCAGGTCTCATTGGATCCCTTGGAGACAGAGGCAGGGTTGAAGGGATGCATGCCCCGCCCTCTCCCACCACATCCTTCCTTGTCTCACTTCCTCAACCAGCCCAGATCCTACAAAAAGAGGCCCTTCCCCCGCTGCTCCCACTTGATTGCCATTGCGAACTATAGACCTGAACAGAAAGAGACAGTGGGTCACGGGACTCGCCATCACCTCCCACCCTGGCCCTGGGACTGGGGTGCACCCTGGAGGTAGGACACTCACCTCGGACCACACGCCCATGCCGAAAGCACTGCTCTCTGCCATCTGATGCAGGTTCAGCTCCGTCCTGGAAGAGGCGACTGGAAATGAGGGGTTTGCCATGCCCCAAGCCATGGGGCATGAGGTGTCCAGCTGCATGGCCACACCAGACCCCCCCAGCTGCCCCAGGACACCCCTGGCTGCACCTGGCATCCATTGCTGTTTGTATTAGCACTGGATCCCACGCTCCAGCCTCACAGGGTGAAAGAGAGACTAGGGTTCAGAACGGATGGAATGTGTCCAAACCCTTGAACACACATGGCCACTGGGTACCCCAGCCTCTCAGCTCTGAGTAGCGCTTCACACTGGGCCCTCATCATCCCACTGCCTCAGCTGGCCCAGCCTGTCCCAAGGACTCACCTGAGATCTGCGTCCAGTCCAGCCAGCAGCTGAGAGAAAACTTCAAAGTTGCCTTCCCCTTGTGGCTGCTGGGCCACACGGCCTTTCTCTAGGAGCATCGTCTGTGAGGGGGAGGCAGGCAATGTCATGCCAGTTCCTTTGGTCCAGACCTGGTCCCCATAGACTCCACCAGGGTGTCCCACCCCCACACTTCCTGAGGCCTTACCACAGGATGAGCCCCACATTCAGAGCCCCACAAGCAATCAGCCAAACTACGGGATCCTCCAGCTCAGCTCCCAGGAAAGGCCAGAGAGCCATCTTCACTGAAGCCTGCCAGCCTGCTGCACCTTGAGTAGCCTGTGCCCATCCCTGAGGCTCACCTGGAGCTGAGCGGCTGTGACTCGGCCTGTGGCATTGAAGTCCAAGGACATCACCATGGCAAAGCGGGTGGCTTTACAGCTGTGGCCAGTGGAGACACAGCCAAAGGCCCGGAGGACAGTGAAGGTGGCCTGGAGCTTCTCCACTGTCGGGAGACGGAGGTGGGGTGTCACGTGTGCCTTACACAGGGCCACCTTTCTCGAGACCCATCCCTGGGTCTTGGTCCCTTGGGGTGGGATCTGTGACGAGCCCTAGCACAGCTCTGAGTCCCAGTGTCACAGGTAGGACATCTGAGTGACAGCGGTGTGGTGCCCAGGACCCTCCTAACTCTTTGTTAACATCTGAGGGCCAGCAGGGGGCCTGAAAGTCCTGGAATCTCCCCATAGGTATTCTCTGTGTGCCCACAGTGCCCTGTGGGCTGTACTGGGCACCAGGATATACTCCAGCCTGTCTCCCACAGCCACACACACAGCAGAACCAGTCTGTGAGAGAGTCTAGGCCAGCCCTGCCCTCACCCCCCAGCTAAATAAGGGGGAGGGGCAGTAGGCATAGCATCTGAGAGAACTCTGCCCTTGGCAGAGTGCCCACGGGGGGACAAACAGCTGTCTTCTTTATGCCCATCCCTAGAGGTGGTAACAGTATGCCCCTGGCATGGCTCTGACTTAACGACTCGCAGTGCTTCGGACGCACCTGCAGGCTGCAGCAGTGGCCGCAGAGCCACCACCGTTGGGGTGCCGCACTGCTGGGTTCTGGGGGGCAATGCCTCCAGAGCGAACGGACACCATTCTTGGAGGAAGTAAAAATGCTGCTGTTTATCTAGAGCACACAAACGTGCGTGAGCACACGACTACACTTGCGTGCTTTCTAGACGAACGTGTGTGTGGGAGAGAGGGAGAGGGGGGAGAGGAGGGAGAGGAGGAGGAGAGAGACGTCTAGGAAGGCTCCGTGGAGACATATATGATTGAGAGCCCTAGTTAACCTCTCTGATTCTCAAAGCCTTCACCCACAAAACTCAAATCACAACAGCTATGTCTCGGTCCTGTTCAAAATCACAGAGCTCTTGTGGTTGGAAGAGGGCCTGGCACTGGTCCCTGGCGGTGTCCACACTGTTAGCAGTGACCGCTGTCATTATTACGGATGCTGTTAGCTGACGGTCCAGCACGCTGGCCCCACCTCTGCCTGACCAGGGCTGCAGTGCTCTCGAGAGCGCTCTAGCCTTCGGTAGCTGCACCTCCCCTCTGCCTCTCAGCTCTGTGTTTGTCTTTGCTCCTCAGACCCTCTGTACAGTGCAGAAGGCTGTGTGCCTTCCTCGAGGACACACTCCGGAGGAACTGTCAATCTGTCTTGTGGGATGGCTTCCAGCAGGTGGCAGCCAAGCTTCTGCTTCTGGCTGTCCCAGCCCAGGAGCACTGTACAGCCCGGGGGGGGGGGGGGGGGGGCACTATAATGGCCGCCAACGTCATAAGAGAAGGGCATCTTTATCCTGGCAGAGCAGAACTTCCTGGGTCAGTAGCCAACACAGGGCCCTTGCCTATCTGTGCTCGGCGAATGGCAGCTGGGACAAAAGTAGAGAAGAGCCAGCCACCCAGGATCCCTCCCAAGCCACCCAGGACCCCCACATCTCCCTTGACCCCCCCCACAAGATACCCAGGGCCCCTGCCCACCTCCCCTCGCCATCCAGCCATTACCTGGAAGCCACCGTACCTGACACTGTGCTGTCCACACTCCCTGCCAAGCCCACCAGGTGCTCCAGGACCTGCTCACAGCAGGTGGTCTTGCCAGCCCCACTCCGACCCAGTGCCACGATGCTCTGGTCTCTCCGCTGGCTCAGCAGTGCCCAGTAGGCACGCTGGGCCAGGGATGTGACATGGGCGCGCAGGCCATCCTGGCGCCCTCGGGGTACCTGCCAGAAGATGACAGGCATCAGCCTTCCTGCCAGCCTGCGAGTGTCCTCCACAGCTGGCTCACCAGGAGTCCTGGACAACCAATAGGCTCATTAAAGGCTCAACCCAGAAGGGGTTCATTGTATTTGCTCATTAAATCATTAAGCAGGGTTCCAGGTAGCTGGAAAATTGGCATAATTGATTAGTAATATTGAACATGGAGACAGGGGCTGGCTACCAGTTAGTGATGTCTGCCATGGAAACAAACTGAGCCATCTCCTTGGCCAAGAACCTAATTGTGAGCAGTCACTGCCGGGTTCCCATGAAGACGGGGAACAAGGAGGACCCTCAGACGGGGCAGGCTGGTGGCGCATGACGCTGTCACTGCAGAGCGCAGGCTGCAGCTCTCTCCACAGGAAGGTAAGCACATATCACGGGACCAACACCACTGCCCAGGGAACACACCCAAGAGAAAGGAAGGTGTGCTCAAAAAGGCTCTTACGTCATAGGTCGCACTGGACCTAACAGAAAGAACCCAGCCCTCAGGACCAGAGCTTTCCTCCAGGCATCCTAGGGTTGTACAGCGTGTGTCCCAGAAAACACCCCAAAGCCAGGAAAACAGTACAGTAGGTCACACTGTGAATGACTGACATGCTTTACTGCGAATAAATGAAGCGGACAGCAGGGAACGCCCTTGGGTGTGGAGAAGGCAAAGCTACAGGCCCAGAAAGCATACCTAGGGGCTACGGGGGAGGCCGCTGGACGAGGCCGAGCACAGAGAGCCGGGAGCCCTTGCTGGGTGGTGGCTGTCCTGTGGGGGCCATGACAAGCACTGAATGGTCACAGGGAAGGGTTCCACAGAGAGCTGGCTTGAACAGGCACCAGTTGGGCTTCATCAAACCGGCTTTTAAAGGGACAAAGAGATGGATGTGGAGGCACAAGTTACTCAGGAGGCTGCAAGGCCTACCTGGGCTATGGACAGGTTCAGAGCCAGCCTGGACAAGCCAGCGAGGCCATCTCAGAATGTTAAAATAGAGGGCCTGGGTGTGACTCAATGGTACAGCTCTTGCCTAGTACGGGAGTGACCCTGGGCTCCATTACCAGTGCTCATAACCGTCAGACAGACAGATGGACAAACACACACACACACACACACACACACACACAGATACACACACACTTTGGTGTGCAAAATTGTTCCAAAGCCCCAGAAGACCCTGGATGCTAAGGACCAGGGGAAACAAGAGCTTGGCCTGGAGCCCAGAAGGGGGTTGACAGCCTTATCCACGCTGCCCAGGGTCAAGGAGAGGGAGGCTGCTGAGGCAGCCTTGGTTTTGTCAGGTGACCTTGACGGCGTCTACACAGAACCACTTTTGGGGACAGAAAAGCAGAGGAACCCGGGAATGTGGGAGATGAAGAAGGAACAGGAGCTGGAAACTCAAGGCCCCCAGGCCCTATAGTGACACTGAGCCCAGCATAGCCTTGCCTTTCCTTCCTGAGACTTGGGGGAACCAGGGCATATGCCAGAGGGCCCTCCTCATAGCTCAGACCTCAAGTTTGGGGGAACCAGGTCTGGAGTGGCCTAACCCTACTTTGGGCCTTTTATTCTACACCACTTGGAACCAGCACTCAGCAAGTTCTTAAGATGTGAGCCATGGGACAAGGCCTGCCCTACTGGACACAACCTCAGAGCCTGGGGCAGCCAAAAATCCTAGGGTCTGAGCCTGGAGCTCTGGTTACCCTGAAAACGAGTTCATGAGTGAGCTTCAGTTCCTGACCCCCACTCTGTGGAGAATAGATGGTGCAGGCCTCTTACCTACGAGGCCTGCAACGGTGCCTTGGGCCTCCTGCAGAATGCACAGCAGCCCTCTCCAGAGACCCCAGATACACCCCACACTCACATGCATGCTCAGCATGGTCCAACCCCAAGGAGCCCCTCTCTGTGTCCTGAAGCCATCCAGCCAGAGTGCAGGCCACTGCAGGCCTGCCCCCCACCTGATGGCTGTTTGGGGACAGGAGGCTGACCAGGCCAAGACTTCATAGGAGACTTGAGAGGCAGCCGCACTGGGGGAGTGGAAGAGATGAAGCCCAGCGCCCCCTACAGGATGGCAAGGGCAGTGCTGCTCAGGGCTTTCCCTGGGCCCATTTCCAGGTGCCTTTGCGGAGTCTGAGAAGAGAGACCTGGTGCCAGCATCACCTCACGGGACTCCAGTGAGTACAGGGTGGCTTCTCAGCCCTGAGTGACAGGTGGGAGCCAAGATTAGGGAGTGTCATGGCTCCAGAGGCCACAAGTCGAGAAGAGTACACAGAGGATGTGGGCTGCCCACCATCCCCTTATCCGTCTGTCTGCAGTCCAGAGTCTTGCACAACCCCAATGAGGACCTGTGAGTCATCAACACGCCAGTCACACCCAGGTGCCCCTCCCCCACTGGCTTCTTCCAGGCTTATCCTTGTCCACATGTGTCCAGGCCAATCTGGCCATCGTGGGCTTTATGAGCTGTGGCCTGTCTTCCTTCCCTAGAAGCAGGGTCAGCGTTTCCAGGGATGGGCTCGGAGGGCTCCGGTGCGGTCCAGTACTCTCCACCAGGTGGCGCCATGAACCTTTGCTTTCATTCACGATGCCGGCCAAAAAAGGCCCTCTCCACTTAATGGATAATAAACAAACCTCAGGGTAAACAGGGCTTCTCTCTCCACATGCATGTGAATGGATGTATGAGACTCCAGAGCGCCTAGTGCACATTACGATCTGGGAGGACCCACAGCCTGGCGCTTTGCCCCAGCTCCTCTGCTTGCGTGTCAGTGGAACGGCTCTCCAGGTGGGCGTCACACCAGAGCTCACCATTCCCCTCGAGGGAGCAGGAGACCCCACAGCCCTCAGGGCTTGCCAAGTCCCAGATTCTCGTCTTGAGCAAAGCCAAGGCTTCCTCCGGGTGCTGATACTCTGTCACACCCTCCAACGCCCAGGAGAGGCGCTTGCTCCCCCTCCCCCCACACACACCGCGGTCCCACCTCACCTTCCCCGCAGAGGCCACTGTGGTCATCTGGGGCTGCAGGGCGATCAGGTCGGGGCCCGAGCAGGTGTGTGGCAGCTGAGCCTGGTAGCGCTGCAGAAGCGTGTTTAGGACGCTGGACTCGTTGACGCTGACCAGGGACGCCAGGTCCTCAGCCTGGTCCAGCTCGGAGGGGTTGGCCTGCAGACATCAGACAGCGTCTCCTCTGGCTTCCTCAGGCTCTACCCCACCAGCACCACCACTCGCCCTCGCAGATACGTATACACACGAATGCCTGCACGCACACACCCTCATGCCTGCGTGTGCCCACACACTACTTGGTCTTGTCGGTTGAAGGGCATGTGACAAAGGCCAGCACACAGGGGAGTGGCAGCCCTCTCCTGACCTGTCCACCTTCTCTGCTTTTGTCCCCACAGCCTGGATTCACTGCCCTGTGAGGCTGAGGTCTCCAGCCTCTGAGTGAGACCCAGAGTGCACCATGAAGTGGCTTCCGCTGGGCACACGTCCCTTGCTATCATCCGCCTTTTTAAATCCTGGAGAGGGACGCTAGACGTGCCCCGTGACACTCAGGAGTGGAAGTTAGTGGCCAACTACCTCTTTTACCAGAGCATGTTGTGCCTTGATCCCTTAGCGGTCTGCACAGCCCCCTAAGAGAAAGCCGATGCCCAAAGTACGGGCCATTGGAACCTATGCTTCAGTGGCAACCTGCCCATTTAACTGAGTTTCCTGGCATCCAGGATGAAAAGGGAAGCAAGTCTATGGAATGATTTTCAAAAAGCAAAGAGTGATATCTTGCTCAGATCAGGCTACAGCAACAGGGCCCGACAAGCCTGTCCTCGAGAAGAGGCTATAAGATACAGAGAACACCCCCACGATGGAATCCCACCAATAGAGCAATGAGCTCCCGGGGGGGGTTTCCCACAGCATCTCTAGGCATTGATGTACATCTCTAGGCCTGGTCAGGGAAACCTCATGCAGGGTGGGGGGGGGGGGGCAGAGGAGTAGGGAAGACTCACTCGATGAACCTGCTCCTCATCCACCTCAGTGACAGTCCTGTCAGCGTCGATAGAAAGCCGCACCCTTCCCGGTGGCAGGTCAGCTGTCCCCTCATCTGGTTTGAGCACTGTTGCTGTGTGGGTGGCCAGAGAGAGGAGAAAGGGGGAGGAGAGAGGAGAAGAGGGGAGGGTAAGCGAGGGAAGAATCTCTAAACCAGGAAGCTGGGAACAGAACTTGGGACAGGCTGAAATGTTCTGTTGGGGTTCTGTTCATATAAAGAACCTCAACTATGACCCTCTAATCCCTTTGGATGAAGGGCCAAATGGCCCCTTCACAGGGTTCACTTAAGACCATTGGAAAACACAGATATTTACATTATGATTCATAACAGTAGCAAAGTGTCAGTCACACACCTAGGTCAGGACAGGATGCTGACAGCCCTTCCAGCTCCGTGACAGGCGGGACAAACGGATGCCTCTTCTCTGGGACACAGAAGCCCTTCCTAGAATGTATCTTTCGCCTCAACTACTCAACAACTCCCCTCTCGGGAGGGGGGCTCTCTCTGCCCACTGGCAGTTACAGGTCCCACCCTCTTCTCTGCTTCTCCTCCCTTCCTCCTCGCCCCAGCATGAAGTAAGACTGGCTGGGGGCTGGAGGCAGGAGACACACGACAGGAACAGCCTGGCACCCCTCGAGCAGGCCTGAGCCCACTTACCGAGTGTGAACCCGTCCTTCTGCACCAGCCAGACTTTCTGTGCTTCGTACCACCTATCCCCGGAGGCCTGGGAGTGAAAAGGGCATCACCTCAGCAGCAAACACCACCAGCCCTGGGTTTAATGCAAGGACCCCCTGGCTTGAGAGCTTCTCTCGGAGCCACCAGGGATCTTCTCAACTTTCTAATGGAACCTCAGGCACAGCCTGAGAACCTACATGCAGTGTCACTGCAGGGAATTGTGGGTAACACTGGACGCTAAGTCACATTAGTAGGAGGGGACCAGGGGAGAAGTTGAGCCTGGGTGGAGGCCGCTTAGAGCCTAGGGGCCTAGTGCTTCAGAAGAGTGCTGTGGGGAGTGCCCATCCCTGGCCAGCCCTCTGCCCACCCTGCAACCTCCCCTAGGCTATATCCTCTCCAACCCTCAGGCTCCATGGCCCACACCTCACCTGGTCAGAGTCTCCGCTCTGACCCCCTCTGCCTGGGTCCTGCAGGACCAGCTCCTCCTCTCCAGGCCTCTGCATAGAAGGCTTTTCCACGCTGGTCTTGGGAACAGACTCTATGTCGCCTTCCGCCTGAGGCTCCACGACATTCACTTCTTCCTCTGTGTGTGCACGGGGCTCCTGGGCCCCCGGCACCCTGCTTTCTGGATGGGCCTTCCTCCTTGCTTCCTCTGTGGGTATCCCATCTGGGGCCTTGGAGCTTTCCTCGGGACTCTGAGTCACTGCTGCCACACCGGGGGGTTCCCAGGCTTTCCCTGGTGCCACAGGCTTCTTCTGAGGTCTCCCTGCCTTTTCCACCTTCCCTGGAGCCTCCTGCTGCTGCCTCCCAGGCTCTGCTGGCTGCACACAGCTCCTGTCTCCTGCTGGGCTTGGCAGGGCTCCCATCTTCTCATCCCTACTCCCTCGTGATTCACTTTCTCTATTCTTGCTCTGAGGACCATCCCCCTTGCTCCTTTGGCCCCGGGAGCCTCCCCACTTCCTTATGGGGACTGGAGGCTCAATGGGTCTCACTTCAGCCCCTGCCTCCTTGGGCCCATTCCCCCTTTCCATCTTCTTTGGGGAATCCCCTCCTTTCTCTGCTGTTCCCAGTTGTCCCTTGTTTCCTGACCCCTGGGTCTGGGCCCTGGTCCCTTGCTCCTCTGTGCTCTGGGACTCATCTTCTTTTTGCCTGTTGGTCTGGGGGTCCTGGCTCCCCTTCCCATCTGTACCCTGACACTTCCCACCTTTTGTGCCCTGGCCTGTGTCACCAACAACCCCAGTCTTTGTTTTCTCGGGCACAAGGGCCTGGGAGCCACAGGGAGTCCCCGTGGTTGCCCCTTTCTTTGGCCCTCCAGTGTCTTTGGCTGGGGCTGGGGTCTTGTCTGTGGGGGTGTCATGAGGTTGGATCTTCTGCTCTGGCTTGGGCAACTCTGGATCCAGCTTGGCCACCATCAGCAACACATCACCCCTCCTCACGCCCCTCTTGAAGGGCAGTGTCCTTTTGGCAGGTGTTCCTGTGGGGCCTGACGCCCGCTGCGTCTCCCCACTAATGCTGGTCACAGGCATGGAGTCCTTGTCACCAGCCCTTGCTGGAATGTCTGGGCTCTTCTGAGTGGTGCATGGGCTGTCCTGGGAAGTCTGGCTTCCAGGCTTGGGGGCATTGTTGGTCTTGTTGGTTTGGTTAGTGGGAACTTCTGGGGTCTAGGAAAGAGACCACAATGCATGACTTCACAGCAGCCATTCACTTCTGGTTCACCCATCCAAAGAAACCCAAGCCCTTCTGATGTCCTGTGCTTGGCGGTGAGCTTTAACCCAGACAGAGAGGCTAAGGGTCAACAGAATCATGGGAAGGAAGGTAGGCTCGGAGTCCGACAGAACCAAGTTCTGCTCCTCCACCTCTGCCTCCCTTTGCTGTGTGGCATCAGGCAAATACCTTTCCATCCCTGAACCAGTTTCTTATTAATAACATGAGGATCATAAAAGCCTGCCGTGCAGGGTGTATATTAGGATCAGTCATGGTGCAGGCAGTCCCCAGCACACAGTCAGTCCTCAGCACCCACTGCACATGAGTCTATTGTTGTTATTATTTCCACCTCAAGCCTCCTAACGAGATCCTCAGTAGGGAAACATGTTCCCATCATGGCTCTGGTGCTGGGTGGACGTGACCCGTTGTCTCCTGTCTTCTGTGAGCTCAGGTCCCCCAACAACATAAGCATGCTCTTTAGATGTTTTCAGAGTGATTATGGAAAGGTCTTGTGGAACCTCAGAGGGGAAGATGGGGGCAGCTTCTGCCCCAGCCATAGGGGCTCTCAAACCTACTGTCCACTCTGCACAACCACCCAGCCACCTCCCACCCACCTGCTGATGGTCACTTTACAACTGATTAGGACACTGTTGGCCATGCCAAGTCTACAGGAAGTGCATGAACACACCCTCTGTGAGGTTCCTCCAAGCTCTTTCAGAGGTCTGTTTGTCTCCACTCAGCCTACCTTCTGGCCACACCGGATACCTCCTAGTCCTGGCCCACCCACCCCTTCCATGTACCCTCATGCTGGTCCTGATGGTATGCCTCTTCTCCCTTCTCCTTTACCATATTTCCTGTACCTCACCTGCCTGCTTCCCCCCACCCACACACACACATACGCAGCTCCAGAGACAGAACCTTACATGGCCCTGGCTCTGACTCTCTCTCTGGTCTTGTGACCTTGAGGAGAGTGCCTTGGTCTTTCTAGGCTTCAGTCTCCTCTTCCCTGTCTACAAGGTAAGCCGTGGCCTCTGCTCTTCCACAAGACCTGTCTCCTCAGCTGCGGCTAGTCAGTTGGGAATGCTTTGCTGACACAGAGAACCCCCTGTCATTAGATGTGGCATAAGTGAGCTGAGGAGGAGGCAAAGAAGATGCCAAAATGACTCCCTGGCTTTGTAATCCCTGGTCCTCCCAGCCCAATCCTGCCTTCACTCCCTTTGCCTCAAGAGGGCACTACAGAGGCAGCAGGAGCTGGTGCCCCTTCTGACTCCCATAGGTATAACTCCCAGGGTACATGACACCGCAAGCCTACCTTCCTGGTATCCATCCTTGGAATCCTGCCTAGGCTTTGGGGGCCTTTAGATAAAGGGTTAGATGAAATTAGGGTTGTGACGCTGGCCTTTCTATGGCCTGGTTTTGGCTGACAGTGCCCAGTGGTGCCATTCAGAACAATGACAGCTCCACGATGGACATGCCACCAATCAGAAGGGATACAGATGGAGTGAGCCCTCAGGATCTCCAACCTGGCTAGGATTAACCCTTTAGTTACAGGACTATAGATGTTCCAAGAGACTTCGAAAAGGGCAGAGAGACAGGCAGCTGGAGGGCCCTGGGACGTGGGACCGCCATGGTGTTCATGTCCCTGACCTGACCCAGAAGGCTGCCGATACGTCTGTGTCAGACTAGCCACGTAAGTGGCATGCCAGCATCTTTTCTGCTTTAATGAATGAACCGAGACAGGCTCAGTGGCCAGACCTATACCCGTGGCCACGCAGGAGGCTGAAGGGAGAGGAGTAGAAGCCCCAAGACTGCCTGGTTCAAGGACCAAGTTCAAGGTCTGAGAGCTAATCAAGGTACAGAGCTGAGTGAGAGGCAGCTGCTATTGTTCAGGAATTCCTAGCTGAATATGTCATGTGATCAAGTGAGCACTGTGTGGTCTCAAGAGAAACAAGCCTGGGGGAGTTAGGAGAAGAAGAGCAACCTCCAGAGGTGGGCAGTGAGAGGTGGTTTTTTCAGCTTGCGTAGGAGCTCTGCAGAGCAAGTGGGAGAAAACAGCAGGGCAGTGGAGCAAAGATGGCACGACTGAGTCTAGGATGGAGGGTATGAACGGAAAGGCACCTAGCGCCTGCCGCAGCCCAGCCCAGCCCACCCCACCTATCCCCCGCACCGCCATTCACCTCTGCTTCCGGGGAGGCGAGCGCTGCCTCTTTCCTTCGCCTGGCTTCTTTGGACTCTTTCTCTGTCTCTCGAACCAGCTGTTTGATGAAGCCCCCAGGGATGACAGAGAACAAGGGAGGTGGGGAGGATGGAGGGGGGCTCTTGTCCTCTTCTCTAATCTGTGTGTGGAAGGAAGCGAGGAGAGGGCTAAGAATGAGCCTGCAAGCCAGGGCTCTCTTCAGACAATCTGACACAGCTTCAGAGGAGCATAGGCGACAAGCCTGAGAGACCCCAGGAGGCTGAGACAGTGTGGGGAGATAGAACGGATGGGCCTATGATAGCAGAGGCTACACAGAAGGATGTGGCTTCTGCATACAGAGTCTCCTCCTGAGAGGAACCCGAACCATCAAAGCCACAGGGGCCCTTAGGGATAGCTCACACACAGGGCTCCCCTGCTGTAGTGCTTCTGGCCCCAAGCAGGCCCTAGAGAAACTCCAGGAGATGCTCATCCCACCTAAGACAGGGATACTCCCAGGGTGCAATGTGTTTCTAGCTGGCACCTCCCAGCTTCTTGAAGAAGCCTCCTAGAGAATTGGAATAAGGTAATAGCTAATTCCTGTGTGCCAGGACCACAGAGAGGTGGAGAAGACCCTTATCCATGGCCTGTGCTGCTGGTTTTCCTGTCTGTGGGTTCTGTATCCCTGGATCTAACCAACTATGGACAAAAGATTTTAGAAAATAATAATAATATGGGGGGAGGGGAAGGCAGAAAAGAGAAGGAGAAAGAGGGAGGGAAGGGTAGGGAAGTAGAGGGAAAAAGAGGGGAGGGTGGCAGAGACAAAGGAACCTTTAAGGAATCCTAGGAAAATGTAATAGCCAGAGTAACAGCCCTGTTCCAGGTCTCTGTGGTGGCTGTTGGTAGGACCGCAGAAACCCTCTAGCACTAGACTGACAGCCAACAGCCCACCTCTACAGCCCCATCCACTCTCTCTTCCCACCCACCCCAGCCCTTATCAGGATACCATGGGATAAGGACAGGGCAACTATGCTATCCTCATTCCCAGCCTCCTGCTAAGGGAAGGGAATGGGCAAGACAGGTGGCAGATGTGAATGGGGTCGCCGTGGTAGGTTCAGAAGGACTGGGCAGGCCATAGAGACAGCAGAACCATCATTCCCTGCCTGAGGTAGGAGAGTTGGGCCAAGCAGCCATGGCCCATCTTGCCAGGGTAGAGTTCCGGCCCTATGACCACAATCCCCCAAACAGCACTTTCCTTCTGTTCCCACAGGGCAAGGCGTGACGATATAGCCATGGTGATACAGAGCCGGCCGGGCTGAGGGTGGCAAGATGAGGTTGTGCTCCCGAGGCTGGCAAGGAGTGAAGTGTTACAGACACATGGAGAGCGAGAGGTGAGTGGACACGGGCCTGACACGCTGAATAGCAGAGAGAGAAGAAGAGAGACTAGTTAGAAGCCGGTTTGGCTCTGTTCCCACCATGCTGCCCCACCCTCTGCTGAGACTGTTGCTCACTCCCATGAGAGTGGGCCAGCCATGAGGCCACCAGCCACAAAGAGGGCAGAGGGCTGAACGCTCTGCTTCTGGACTCGTGCTATAGTTTCAAAGCCAGGGGAAAACACACGTGGTCTTGTGTGTGTGGCTGCGAGACACTGGCACAAAGGCCAGGCCTGTCTAAGCAGCATGGTGATCAAGTACCAGAGGAGTCGGGGACAATGGAGATGAGAGGAGTTTCAGCTGAGGGACAGAGCAAAGGGATTTTCTGGAAGGTTCGGACCGTCCTGTATCCTGACCCATGTCCATGAAGTCCGTCTCATAGAAACGGTCATTGAGTCGAAATCCCGATGCAATTCTTCACAGACATTGAAAAAATAAATAAAACTATCTTCAGCTTCCTATTGGAACCTAGGATAGCTAAAACAATCCTGAATAAAAAAATAAAAAACAAACAAAAAAACAAAAACTGCTGGAGGTATTACCAGACCCAATCCCAAACTGTACTACAGAGCTGCACTCATAAAAACAGCATGACACAGGCACAAAAACAGACGTGTTGTTTAATGGAATCAGACTGGACACTCAGACATAAGTCCACACACCTACGTATACCTGATTTCTGACAAAGAATCAAAATAAAAAGCACACTAGAAAAAAAGAAAGCATCTTCAAAAGATGCTGATCAAAACAGATGTCTGCGTGAAGAAGAATGCAAATAGACAAACGGGACCTTATGAAACTGACAAGCAAAGGACCGTGTCATCCAGGCAAAGTGTCAGGCTACAGAGTGGGAAAAGATTTTTACTAACTACACATTCAATAGAGGGCTAATATCCAAAATATCTAAACAACAACAAAAACCCTAACATCAAGAAAACAAAAAACTCAATTAAAAATGAGGTACAGAACTAAAAAAGATTCTCAAAAGAGGAGACATAAATCACTGAGAAACAATAAAAGAAATGTTCCATATCCTCAGTCATCAAGAAAAATGCAAAGCAAAACTACTTTGAGATCCCGTCTTACACCTGTCAGAATGGCCAAGATCAATTACAAAACAAAAGTGACAGCTCATGTTGAGGAGAATATGGGGAGGGGAAACACTCTCACATTGCTGGTGGGGGTGCAAACTTGTGTGAAAATCATTGTGGCGGTTCCTCGGGAAGCTGGACTAGACCTGCCTTAAGGCTCAGCGATAGCACTCCTGGGCATATACCTGAAGGGCACTTCCCCTTACCACAGAGACACCTGCTCAGTCACGTTCATTGCTGCACTATTCATAATAGCCAGAAACTGGAAACAGCCCAGATGTCCATCAACTGATGGGTAGATAATGAACATGGAGTACATTCACACAATAAAATTTAATTCAGCTGTTAAGAAAAATGAAACCGTAAAATTTGTAAGTAAATGGATGAAGCTAAAAAAAAGAAAATTATCCAGAGTGAAGTAACTCAGAGCTGCAAAGACAGATATTGTTTGTATCCTCTCATACGTGGATGCTAGATTTTTAGGGTTCAATACAAATACAGCACAAATAGCCACAGAGGTGGGGTACCTAGCAAGGGCCTAGGACAGTCGTTCTCATCCTTCCTAACACTGCAACCCTTCAATACGGTTCCTCATGTTATAGTGACCCTCCCTTCCAACCATAAAATTATTTTGTTGTTACTTCATAAACATAACTTTACCACTGTTATGAACTGTAACATAAATACATGATATGCAGGATGTATTTTCATTGTAAATTGACCCAAAGGGGTCATGACCCACAGATTGAGAACTGCTGGTCTAGGGGGAGAAGAGGATCTAGCAAGGGAGGGAAAATAGAACACAGTGTTATGAAGAGACAAAGGAAAGAGTCGAGTAGGAGGATTAAATCGGGAGAGGGACGGAAGAGGATGAATTATGGGAGGGGCAGTCAACACTAAAGGCCACTTGAAAAGCCACATGGGAACCCACTACTGTAGAAGCGTCCTGAAATACACACATACATGGGAGGAATCTACGTGGAGTCACTACGTGATGGTGAGATGATGCCCCACCTAGGTATCTTATGCTGCCAAGAAAAACCTCCACTGCCAGGACCGGGTGGCGTCTTGTTGAGTCGTTGGCCAAAGGGGTCCCATGGAAACCCCCAAGCATCACAGGCTATTGCCAAGGATGATGATTGCTCTCTACAGCCTGGTGGCAAGACTATTGTTGGAGGCAACACTTACGTCATCAAGCACGGAGAAATCAAACTGGTGCCCGAACTGGACGTTTCATCCCTACTGACTGACCAGTGTACCAAAGGGACTCTGCATGCTACCGGAGTAGCAATAGGACACAGCTATGCACCCTGAGACCTGCAATGGTGACCTGACTACAAGATATACTGAAGCAATAGTGGCACAAGTGTGACAGGAGTAACCAACCACCTTATTGTTTGCTTGTGTGTTTGTTTTCGCTGGATTTAAGGCCCACTCCTGAAATGGAACCCATACTACTAAAGTAGCCAAGAACCTGAGACCAGATTGGCCCTGGGCCTAGGGGGAAAACCTAATGCTGTTATCTCAATAAATGAACACAGCGATAGAATTACTCCTAATGACATTCTACTACACTCATAATCAGCGCCCAGCTCAGCCGCCACCAGAGAAGCATTCCCTTGCAGCAGACGGGAGCTGACAGAGAGACCCACACATGGACAATGTGCAGAGAGGAAGAGACTTTGGAGAACTCAGCCCTAAATGGTATGTCTCCATCAAACCCCATCCCTCAGGGATCAGGGATCCATGTGGAAGAGGAGAGAGAAAAATTTTTAAGAGCCAGAGGTGATGGATGACACCAAGAAACAGTAAAACAGCATCCTCCAGACACAACAGGATTGATGTACATATGAACTCACAAAGAATGACAGCACATTGTGGTCCCAGCATGACAGGGGGAAGGGGACATGGGCTCCCACCCCTAACCAAGAAATTACTTGCAACTGATACCCACTGACAAAAGGATACTCAGGTTTCTCCAGTGGAATCTCTCCGAACATGCCAACCACTCGCCAGGTGTGGTGGTTTAAATTGGTGTGGCCTCTAGAGGCTCATGTGTTTGAAATGCTTGGCCCACAAGGAGTGGCATTATTAGAAGGTAAAACCTTGTTGGAGGAAGTATGTCACTATGGGGGTGGGCTTTGAGGTCTCCTGTGCTCAAGCTATGCCCAACGTGACACAGTCTCCTTCTGCTGCCTGTGGATCAAGATGTAGAACTCTCAGCTTCTTCTCCAGCACCATGTCTGCCTGCAGGCTGCCATGCTTCCTTGTCATGATGATAATGGACTAAACCTCTGAAACTGTGAGGCATCCCCAATTAAATGTTTTCCTTTATAAGAGTTACTGTGGTCATGGTCTCCTCATAGCAATGAAACCCTAACTGAGACACCAGAGCAGGCCCCATGCCCAGGAATAGTTGGCCAAGACAGAAAGAACTCAACGAATTCTTGTTGGCTTGTTTCATTTTGCATTAATCTGTCCTTCTTTCTTATTGGCCTTTTCCTTGTCTGTTGTGGTATTCAGCATTGGGTCTTCTGTTGTTTCTCGGTTTGTTGTTGTGTTTTGATGGAAAACATGGATGGGATGGGAGGTAGGGATGATCTGGGAGGAGTTTGTGGAGAAAAAAACATGACCAAACC